GTGACCTAAGCTCTGAGCAGCTTCAGTTACTGTTGATAATTATTAGACACTGAAGTCTTCACTGTGGTTTTAGAGTCAGAAGTAAACAATAAAACTCTCAACTTTATACTGAGTTCACGCTTGTCACAAATTGAAGCTTCGGTCGCCACAGCTTTGTTCGCAAACTTCGCTGTCGAAACTCAGGGAGGTGACGTCAGAATAAACACTATGCTGATTGGATATCGGGAAAAAAAGTAGATTTTTTCCAACTTCATTTATGTTGAGTCAGACACTAATTCTCTTCACTTGTGTTGCGTCAGATGCTAATTTGCTTAATTTGTGTCGTGTCGGACGCACACCTAAACGTTAACGTTAGCTGACACTGGTTCCTCTGTTCGTCTTTAACATGTAGGTGGTATTTAGAGGGGGTATTTAGAGAGGGTATTTAGAGGGGGTAGTTTCACTGGACTATATTTAGAGGGGGTATTTAGAAGGGGTAGTTTCACTGGACTGAAAGTGAACCAGCAGGAACGCGGCTGTGTTTTCTCTCCCTCCGTCACTGAGTGCCACTGACATTGTAAACAGTAGGAAACTCCTTCTCCACAGTGACAGCAGCTCACTGGAGGACTCCCCGGTGCCTCTTCTGAGTAAAGTGTAAAAGCCGGCTCTCAGTGCGCAGATAAACACAGTGACTGTAGCTGCAGCCGCTGCACACAAACAAAAGATTTTTTTTTTCTTTTTTTTACACAAGATTGAAAGAAAGGAGGAAAAAAAAAAGAGAACATGTGAGTGGTTCAAATCACTCTGGGTCAGAGGTCACTAATAGGCAGAACAGTCTTATATGTCCAGGTCCAGAAAGAACAGCGTCTGGGTCTGGACCCACACATGAAAGTCATAAATCATTGAATTGTCAGAACTTGACAGACTGTTTCTATTTTAACCAACACAGCTTTTTCAGCCTGGAGATAACGCAGTGGTTTAAGATTACAGGGAACTGTGTGTGTGTGTGTCTATGATCTAATGTACCACTGCCGGGGGGGGTGGGGTGGGGGACATACTGGACATACTGAAATACTGTGATATTTAATTCCATCGTATCAATATATTCTCCATCAGTTATTGATGTTTTATCACTAATTCTAAGTCAAATGTTCCCTCTGTTCCAGTGTCAGTAACCTGATGTTCAGATGGAACAGAGTCTCAGACTTTTTTTGGATCATTTGGATCCACAACTGTATCTTTATCCTCAGTCATAATAAAAACTCCACCATGATAATCACACACACACACACACAGGTGTGTGTTCAGCCTGACCCCGACACAGTCCATCCTTAATGAGCTGATGTCTGTTGCAGAGGCAGCAGCTCCAGTCGACCCGACACGACTGTCGTTCCACCCAGAACCACCACCTCTGTCTGACAGCAGCCTAACTGTGCCCTTGGCATTTAACGGCTCCACTGGAGCTGCTCTGTGGTCAGCACAACACCTCTGAGGCGGTGCTGGGCAGCTGCTTCTCTTTCCCACTGACCGACTAATCATCCAAGTTACTGCCATAAATCACAACCTGCTCTTTAACACCTTTTCTCCTGCAGGTGGAATTAAAAAAAAAAAGAAAAGAGTTGTTTCCTTCTGTTTCACTGGTTTTGTTCCTGGATTTTTTTGGATTCATTTTTTTCGACCCTTCATTTTGGCTCCCAGGCATAAGAGCGACTCCAGAAGTTTATTATGTCCTAGATTATCGTCCAATCAATGGATGGAACTGGGTCAAGGTCAAGGTCAAGGTCACACCAAGGCCAGAACTAAAGTGAGAGGTGAAGGAGTCCAGTCAGTTCTACCTGCATATTTAATAACTTCTACATCCCATCATTAATCACTGTCTCCTCCCATTTGGAACATTTTATTTATCCCAAAAAAAAAAAAAACCCCAGAAAAGTGCCTTTAGGATGTGAAACAGCAGGTGAAAATACTCCAACTGAAAGGCTCCATTACTCAAACAGCATGAATCAAAAGACGGGGGAAAAAAAAGAGTAATCCTTTAAGAAAAAAGGCTTTTTCCCAGCATGCTTTGGAATATTTTGTGCAGCAGATGGCGTTGCTGTAATAAATCTTTAGATAAAAGTGTTTTTTAAAGAACTTGTTTGAATATAATCACCGAGTGTATCTACAGTACAATAACTGTGTTACTGAAGTATTACTTCAACACTGAACATGAGCCACTCTGGTACTGTGACTTTTAATCAGGGGTATTCAACAGGCCCCAGAAAAGTGCCAGACGGTCCACAAACCCGAGACGGTCCACAGAAGGTGAATCCTAAAGTATTTGGTCGAACATGTCGCCCTAACCTTAACCCTAACCACAAGAAAGTGCTGCATCATACGCAATTAAACAAGTAAAATTCAAATGTAAATGTTGTGCTATTTAATCAGTACACAAACCTATAATATATATATATATTAGTAGTCTGTAACTATATATATTTGTCCCTTGAATAGTAGCTCCCAAGCCTAAAACTGATCTAAAAATTCTACTTTTAGTTTTTTTTTTTTAAACGTCGACAGAATCTTTGAACTAGTTTCACTCGTTCACGGGTGATGAAGGCATCAGCAGGGAAGTTTTCCACTCTGTATATTTTAGGCTTCCAAAATGGCAGCGAGTAGGAGGTGCGAGGGGCAGGGAATAAGGGAATAAACAGATTGTGTTTTACTGAGGAAAATCTGCTGAAAGGCTGCCACTTAAAAGTTGTCTCCAACCTTTAACACCTCACAGACTCTTTCTTCTGCTCTGCGGACGCCTGGCTCTCATTAACTGTAGCATCTGACTGTGAAGTGAGAAGCTGCAGCAGAGATGGACTTCATCACTGTGACCGTCCTGCTGCTGGTTGGCACACCATTTTTCACTATTAGCTTTATTAGCTTCCCTTTCAGCTCCACACGGTGTTTTCCCGACGCAGCATATGGCAGATCCGCAGGAAATGTTTTCTCCTGCAGGAGTGGCGGCGTAATTTACAGTAACAGACTCACAAACCGACAGAGATTAGGAGAAGGGTTTTCACGCTGATAAAACATAATTACACCTACTTGGATTTGCCAAAAATGCCAGCCCTGAATGAGGTGGGATTTCAAAAGAAAAAAAATAACAGGTGTCGGTGTTGATCCAGGTGCTGAAACTGAGCTGTGAACATTTCACAGCTCAGTTGACGTGAAATCCATGTGATTATTTGTAAAATGTGACTAAACATCTTGTGATGGTGTCAGATGTGTTAGAAGCCTGGGACAGGCCCAAATTAGGGCAGTGAGTTTTAAAAGTGATGCCAAATATTATTACATTAAAAAACACAACAAAGTTGTATTTCTTCCCAATTTGACAAACTCTTTGACGTTTTAACCATTTGCCAATTTATGCTAACCTCTAGCTATGTTAGCTATATGTACTGTATGTATATATACACACTATTGGTCGATCTAACTGTAGATTGATAGGGTTCTGATGTCAGGACCTGAGGCCAACCACCACCACCACCACCACCACCACCACCACCACCACCACCTAATAAATTATCAACAGCATATTTGCACTTTTAAAGCATGTTAATATATTTTGCTGCAGGAAAGAATTGTGCAGCGCTGATGGGGTCAACACTGTTCTGATGTGATTCATCTCTCTCTGGAGATGTGAAGGTGTGCGGGGGGTGAGGCAACCTCTCGGAGGTGAGGAGCTGCTGCTGGTGGGAAGGAAGGAACTGGACAAACAGTCTGATCTGTCATAATCACTCCTTCTTTTTCTTCTCTCACTTTCTGTTCTTATTATTTTCNGGGGTGACGGAGGGGGTGACGGAGGGGAGGTGAGGTTTCATCTGAAGTGCTCTGAACTCTTTTTCTTCTTCTCAGCGGGCAACCAAGAGATCTTGCGGCTGAGCGCTTCTGAAAGCCTAGTGATTCCACACACACACACACACACACACACACACACACACAGCGTCACGCACACACCAACCGAAGGCGAGAGAAGCACCTGAGAAAGGAGACGGTTGCCTTGGTAACAACCACCGTCGGCCCTTGCTTCTGCAGGAGGAGGGTGGGGGTGGGTGAGGGTGCAAACACAGAGCAGTAAAGCTGCTTCATCCTTTTGACAAGAACAGGCACAAACATACCAAACACCCCTGACTCTCATGTGTCATGAACAGAGCAGGAGAGACAATCTGG